GGGGGAGAGGAGGTTTATACCAATACACACCAATACAGAAATTCTATGTAACTGCTGGATTCTTATCTACAATGCTAAGCTTGCCATGAATGATTTTTTGCTTTTACATGATGGCCCATGTTGGTGGTTGTACTCTGAAAAATGGTCCAGTTTTTCCATATCTAATGTTCCAACACTACCAATTTTAATACAGAGAACAAAATAATCAATACATGTCAGGAGACAGAGGAACATAAAGATCAGCTGTACCTTTAGTGGATGTTTTAAAAAGAACATAACCCATCATTAGAGAAAAGATTGTTCTCTAAGAGCTTGCCTATGTATGAGCAGGAGGATATTAGAGAAAAGATTGTTCTCTAAGAGCTTTTCTATGTATGAGCAGGAGGATCACATAGTATCTCTGCCACTAGATTGTGTCAGTTGAGACGGTATTGAACATAGAGCACTACTGTTAAATAAAAAAAATAAAATAAATAAATAATAGTATCTCTGCTGCTAGATTGTGTCAGTTGAGATGGTATTGAACACAGAGTACTACTGTGCTCGAGGGGAGGTCCAGAGAGCAAGACCCCTCTGCTACTTAGGCAACTTCCATGATAAAAGTCATTTCTCCCGCCTGACATTCCATCACAAATTCAATGTACAAAACATTCTTTGATTCATATTAGCCCAGACAAAACACATTAATTATCTTCAACCATGTAAACACTTTCCCTCAACTAACTGGAAGTATGAGAAATCTCTGATGGCCAAGAAGAAATACAGTAAGTGGTCTTACGTACCAAGAAGAGCACATCCTGCCAAGTTACAAGCTTCTGCAACCCCAGCTATGATCTCCTGAGCCATCCCAACATCCAGTTTGCCACAGGCAAAGTAGTCAAGGAAGAAGAGGGGCTCAGCTCCTTGCGCTAGGATGTCATTGACACACATGGCGACCAGATCTTGGCCAATCGTGTCATGCTTGTTGCACAGTTGCGCAATCTGTAATGCAGGTCAGATAAATTAAATTCAGAGCTTTACACAAATTTATGTGTAACATAAGAGGGGTGCCTCTGGGGAACCTGTGAATTATTACTTCCATGAACCCACATCGGTCCAAGGCTCCACAGGAAGTGGAGGGCCAGATTCTGCCGGTATGCCCTGTATCGTCCTCACAAGTCACACTGTTGTCAAAATGCTTTTGAGCCATACCAGAAAATATTACAGTACTGGAGTGGACACCAGTTACAAGGAACCCCTTAGCACTCAGGCAGCAGCTGAGGTAATTAGCAGGGCAGGGGAAAGGCAGAATGAGTGTTAGCATCAGTTTAACGAAATGGTACTAATAACTGAACAATGTAGTAGAAGCAATATATATTTCAAGGATAAGGAAAAAATAAAAGAAGATATGCTGATTCAAGTCCATGGTCCAAATGCCAAGAGCTGGTAGGCTCAGAAGATGGTTTTGTTTAGAAAAAAGAAAAAGCCAAATCATCATAGCATAAATGCTGGAAAACAACATCTGGCACTCTGGAAGTTGAGTCATAGCAACTGGACTGTCACCATCATTACCATCACCATCACCCACCCTTTTTTGCATTACCTTGAGCTTTGTTCCAACGCCATCAGTTCCGGAGACCAAAACTGGATCTTTATACCCAGCCTCTTTTAAGTCAAAGAGGCCAGCAAACCCTCCAAGCTCAGCATTACAACCTGCCAATCAGAAAAGAGGACTTGTTCATCAAAGCCTTGTTAACATGACTGAGGGCTCTGGGAGCTGCCAGAGAATTATCAACCCTCACACCAGACTGTTCTGCCTTTTCTAAGACCTGAAGGAATACTGTGGAAAATACATAACACTGGGTGCATAAAGGGGACAAACATTTCTCCCCCAGTTAATCTGCTCTTTAGCATAAGTGTCAACTGCTGTGTTATTCTACCAAGGCTGACCCATTTTATTTTCTGAAATGAAGGAGCAGATGGCACTCTGTCCTATATGTTTAGAAGCTGACCAGACTAGCAATTGGATCTTAATTTCAAGAAGGCCGTCCTATATGTTTAGAAGCTGACCAGACTACCGTAGCAATTGGATCTTAATTTTAACAAGGCTGTGTGTGCCAGCATCTTTCATTGTGCCTGTGGGCAGGCAGCAGTCTACGTTGGCAGTACAGATGAGGCCACTGTACAGCTCTGTGCACCAGCATCTCACTGCCAGTCCCCCTCCTCTCCCCCTATCTGCCACCTGCAAAAGCTTCCTCACTTTGCCTAATGGCAGGAACAACCCTCAGATTCTGTTGTCTCTAAGTCAGGAAGAACTGACACCTCAAAGGAATATATCCAGCCCCCACAAACTGTTTTTTTTTCCTCTCAAACAAAAACTGGAGTGTGATTCTCCTTTAAAACAAGGTGAGCCCCCCTCTAAATAATCATAAACAGCAAACAAATACACGTAAGATTTTTTAAAATTAAATATCAGATTGTGATATTGTGATTTCCTTTGGGTGGGTTGCTGTGGGTCCTGGAGGATTCTGAGGTTGGGAAAAAAGGTTTCTAGAACCACCAAAGCCTTCCCAGCTCTGACCTAAAGAAAGTAAGTCAGGATTGCATCAATTATACATATTTCATTCTATATGTTCTATAGATCCAATCTGCAGCACAGTATTCAAAGGGTTTTACCCACTGGTCAACCTGGATGCTCAGCTCTGAGATCCCAGTGCAAAACAGAAAGAACATGATTATATGATATGACAAAATATGAATGAGGTTGCAGTTTGGCAGTGCAAATCAGAGAAGAACAGATGTGTTCAGCATTTAACACTATGCATACTTCAAGGTACAATGTATGAGCTGTGCCTTACCTGGCCTGGCTGTGGCTGCTGCTAAAGGCTTAATTTTCTGAACCAAGGTGTTGCCAGCTGCAATATCAACACCACTGTCTTTGTAAGTCAGGCCTCTAAAAAGGCAGAGAGTTCATTATCAATTTACTAATACATTTGATACACCTCCAGTAGTATTTTCCGGTGGCAGTATAAGTTTTAGAATTAACTAGGTTCTCGGTGCAGGAAGAACTTCTTTTACTAGCCTGCTTTTCTGCCTTTAACAAGCATAAACTTGGTTTCGGATATGAAGTATGGATGTGTTCTGACATGTTTGATTTCAGAGGTCTCAGGTCTGTACCAGGGCTTGTGATCCCTATGCCCCTGGGATGTGTGGTGCATCAGGCTGGAACTAGTACATCCAAATAGCAGTTCAGCTTGGTCCCCTACTTGTCATATTGTGCATTACAACTATAATGTGCTAGTCACTGTTTCTCACTGAAGATGAGATTCAGCCCCAAGCGCAGCAATATCAGAACTCATGACGGTCTGATCCAAGTGCAGCTTCCATTACTGGGTCACACTGACTCATCCAGACAAAAGTATATTTGGAAATGTTCTCAGCATACCAAGAGTGCAATTTAAAATTGCACAGATTTTTAAAGATATAATTGTATATACATGTCTGTTAGAAAATATATTAGCCTTTAAATATGCATCTGATACTCAAGATTCACTGGAAAATACAACGCCAGGAAAATACTGAAGGCAGTAGTGAACGAGGAAGATATAACACAAGATGAGTTGATTCAATGAGGAAGCTATGGCCCATAGCAAGGCTGCTAATGAAAAGACCTTCTGGAAGTCATTAGTGAACAGAAATGCCATCAACAGTGACTTGATGCCACAAAATAAACAAGTTACCTATATATTGCTTTTATCTAAAGATTTTCATATGTTGACACTCATTGTCCAGCAGACCATTTTCTACTACTACAGATTCAGAGTAATGGTAGTTGAGCTAAGGAAGCTTCTTCCAGAAGCTTCAGGCATCTTGACACCTATCTTAGCCTTTGGTTGAGACCCTGGATAAAATCCCACCCTGGCCTTTTCCATTGTGATCATGTAATTATTTAAAAAAATATTTACTAGGCAAATGTATTTATTACTTTTCTGTAACATATGTTTACACCACCTTTCTCCTAAAAAGGACACACGACAACTTACAATAGTAAAAAAGTAACAATATTAAAAGCTAAAAACAATAAATTATTACAATATCAAAAAAGACTTAAAGATTCTAATATTAAACTCTCATAGATAAAAGCAGTGGCAGAAACACATTAAAAACAAGAGAAATAGAACAGCCCCCTGCTGAACACCAAGTCGTTAAAAGAAAGCCAGCCTGAACAGAAAGGTCTTTTCCTGTTTGTGGAAGGAAAGTAAAGATGAGGTTGGTCTGGCCTCCCATAGGAAGGAGTTCCAGAGTCTGAGAGCAGCAACAGCTTTTAGTCCTATTTATTTACTGCCATTTATTTACTGCTTTTTAATGGAGAAGTATTTACATAAACATGTTATAAGTAAATAAACACCAAAATATATATCATGCAAGTCCTTGGAACGAGGAAAGAGCACAGATGTCACATATGCCACCCTAATACAGTCTGCCTATCAGCATAAGCAGGAATATTATCACTTCTGTTTTAATCTGTAGTATCTCATCTAGCAACCCATCAGAACTACCCATAACCTTTGGCATGGTATACAGATACTTCAACTTAGGCAATATATTTTTGAACGCATTAGTTCATCTTGCAGCCAGGTAATCTCTAGTCATAAACTCAAATTCATGATACCTGTTTTAGACTTCCACAGAAAGGGTTCTCTAGCACTTGTCTGTATTTTGTGTTGTATCCAATTAGCTATTATTGCCACTGGAACAGAGCTTGTCAGCAGAATGGGGAGGGGAACGGTGTCTGTCTCTCCCCACAGCCTGCTCTCTCCTCCCTCCAGATCTTCTCCAGATGGTTGAGGGAATCTCCAGAGTAGACTGGAGGAAGAGGGAGGAGAGGAGGAAACACTTCCACTACATGAGCAGAAGTCCTCTTATACAACATTGCCTTTTGCCCATGTGTGTTACATAAACATGTACAGTATTTGAAAGGCACATATGTAAAAATAAATTTTGCCTCACTGTGGAGGGGAAACTAAACAAATTTGTGTCCTTTAACAAAGAAGCATGACATACTAGACGTTCATAAAAATAAAACTAGATACTGCATCATTTTATAAACTTTATTGTACGTTAACAGGAGTAATAAGACAGTACACTAATGCCTGACATCATATGCTTTCAGGTAAAGATGGCTATACCCAACCACCTATTATACAATACAAAAGGGAAGTATAACTTTAATAGTTTATTGGCCAAGAGAAGATCTTGTCTAGATCAAGAGGCATCTGTCAGAAAGAACAAGAGCTCACGGGCTTCCCGTTCTTCTACTGACAGAAACTTATGGGTTAAAAAAGTGACTTCAGTTTTGCAACTGGCATACATAGATGTCTTCATACCTTTGTACCATTTACTGTTTAGAAACATAGCCTCTATGGCAGAGTGTCAAAAAAGTGACTGTTTTGGACAAGAGCTGAGGGGTTGCTTAGAGTGATCCCCCCCCCTCCTCCAAGTAGTCAAAGTCTGCTCTACCGTACAGGCTCTGTCTGAGCTGGCAGATGTTGATCTATCCTATCAGGCATAACATCAAAGAGCAAATAATTAAAAAAATATACAGAACCGGCAAAAAGTGATCTGCAGACAACCCCTAAGGGCTTCCTCAGACTGATAAACCAATACATTTTGAAATTATGTGGAAACTCAAATTATGCCCTTTGCCAAATATTTCTTAAGAGTGAAGACTTTTTTGAAATAAAGAAACCCCACCATGAACGATTCTAAGCGTTTCTGCATTCTATGTTAGGGAAGACTTATGGAGGGAGCTAGATTGCCACACTGTTTTGGGTGGCGTCCTTTGCCTTTGCCTTGGTCAGAAGCAGCTTATGCGCTGCTTGAAAAACAAGATAATTAGTCAACCTTCTTGAAAAAAAGCACATAGAGCTGCATAATGCAATGTACAGCTGCATATTTAGAAAAAGATAAGAAAACAGCAGAATAGGGAGATGGGACCCCACATTTCTCAATTCAAGCAGCTCAGCATACTTGCACCAAAGAACGCTTGTGCAGTCTAAACTTGGGAGAAAATGAAATGTTCACTGGACTGTTGTGTCATTCACTAGTGTAACACTGCAGCTACTTGTACAAACAACATAGGCCATTCCTGTGCAAATATTAAACCTAACACTTTGATTCTCCTTGTGCAAGCCCTTAGACAAGCTACCCCACAGGGTGATACATTAACTTCTGTTTCACAAGCTGTTGTTAATTGTTCCAAAAGCAGTTTCACAAGCTATTCAAACCATGGTGGCCTCATTTGACTAGGCATAACTGTTCTACTGTCACCTGCACAACTGCAGACAAAACAACAATGGTAGCCTAGCATTTGATACAACGCATTAGGCATAAGTTTAAGAATAAAAAGAAACAGGTTCTTCTATATTTTGGCTACCATTATGGACAGTATATGTCATAGGCCTACAGTACGTGCACAAGATTCTTCTAACCTCAATTTTATTTCCTTCAATAATGAATCTAATCCACAATGATATGAGTAAAACAATGTTAGTACAGTTACTCTTATTTTAGAAATACCAGCTCTGTCAGATCAGCTTGCCACTTTCGTTTTTTTCACACACTGATTCTCAGTAACTAAGAGCACATCAACACTATAAAAGCGAAGCCCCTTAGGAATTGTTATCCCTTCCTCCAAAGGATGCTGGGCAATGTAATTCTCAGATGATATCATAAAGGAGAGTTCTAATCTTTTGACACACAAAAAACTACCTAATCTGCTGAGCCTCTGCTGAGCAGAAAGTCCCATCAGCATAGTAACATTGGACCTTGCCATTTTGTGGAACTGAAATCCGGTTGTACCTGCTTGTGTAAATGACAACACTTGTAGTGAGCTCTTGAATTACTATAGTAACATTGGACCTTGCCATTTTGTGGAACTGAAATCCGGTTGTACCTGCTTGTGTAAATGACAACACTTGTGCAAGTAGTGAACTCTTGAATTACTATGCTGGCAGGACTTTCTGCTCTATGGAAGCTCCGTAGTTTCCAGAATTTCTTGACAGCAAAGTAAGAGAAATAAACTGGTTTAACCCTGTGATAAATGCCCTAAATGTTAATGGAAAAACAAGTGGAAGTTCCTCTGCACTTCCTCACCAAAGCTGTATTTAATCGTTGTTCTTGGTCTTAATGGAAAAACAAGTGGAAGTTCCTCTGCACTTCCTCAGCAAAGCTGTATTTAATCCTTGAACTCTTGTGCTGAGATGTTACATAAGCATATCATACAATAATTGTTATATGGGAATTGAAAATACACAGATACAAAACTATCCTTAATGATGCAGTGATTCTATAATTATTTGCATGAGTGGTTTTAAATGTAATAACAATTTTAGTATCAATTCTCAGCTTTGCCTTCAGATAGATACCTGGATTGCTTAAGGAATTCTATAGCCCGATAACCAATATCTTTTCTATAGATGGCCCCTTTGAATCGAATGACTTGGGCTCCTCTGTTGGCTTCTTCTAGTCCAGAAATGAGGTCCTTCTTGATAGCTGTGACAGTGAGGACTCTGCCACCACTGGTCACCACTTTTCCGTCTTTCACCGCTGTGCCTGCATGGAACACTACCAAGCCAAGTTCTTTTGCCTGAGGAAATCCTATGAAGACAACAATCCGATTATTAGAACAAATGGATTACTTAAAAGCATTTGCTATGCATCTATTGTGTAACTAGGAAGCAGTTTATGTACTTCAACAAAACAGGGACAACTGCTATCAAACATACTCTATTTATCTGAAACACCTTTGAAATTACCTCTTCTCCACACATGATGCCATACTGTGACTGAGTGACCACAGAAAGCCATCCAGAAATTGTGATGACAGGGTATGGATCAATCTCATTATATTCTTTTGCACTGCCTTCTTGTGCTAATGTGAGGCAAATGTACATCTTGAAGAAGGTCTATCCAGTAAATGGCATGGTTCTACCTGAAATTTCCTGGGGGTAGCTGTATTAGTCTATAGCAGAAAAATCAGCAAAGAGTTTTGTGGCACCTTAATGACTAACAAGTTTTACTTCACATGAGTAAATGTTCATACTTACTGCCCATATTTATAATATTTATGCTATTTATAACATGAAGTGGAAGATTTTACTTCAGGGATCAAAATCAAAAACCTTCTGGTGGTTCCAAACTATTCCTCTGTCACTTGGGCTAATTTATTTCTAAGAGAACAGCAAAAAAGAAAAAAGTAACATATGAAAGTGGAAGCACGCACTATATATTTTTAAAAGTTCTATGAGTCATTTTCCAACCTGTTATCTCCAAACCCTTAGGATAACTTCCAGGATAGCCTTCACTTGCCATGACCACCGTCACTGCCACACAGTCTTCAATCCAAACAGGCATGCAGGAAGATAACCTTCTGTCAATGGTTGCCTGCATAACCTCATAAAGGTCACTTTTCAGTAATGGAAGAATTACCTATAGAGTAAGAGTTAAAGATATGTGCTGTCTGGTATCATTAGTAAAACTTACATCCTAGAACTGGGACATAAACTCCAATGGCACAGTTCTAATGCTTTACAGAATCAGGTAAGTGCAATCATGCAAGTAATTCTATTCAGCTATCAGACTCTTTGTCATACTCTCCTGCATTCACAGCTTGAGCAAATAGTCATGCACCTGATGTGCGATAACGAGCAAGAGTTGTGTAACTAGCCTTATACACAAATAGTCTTCCTCAACAGGATTTGGGTCTTGGTGAAATAAAGTAGAGATGAAAAGAGCCTTAAAGTATGCTCTGAATGTACATAATATTAATTTTAAGTGTACACACACACACACACACACACACAAACAAACAAACAAACAAGAGATAGCTTGTGATGGTCCACACACACACACACACACACACAAGAGGTAGCTTGTGATGGTTCATGGAAAACAAAAAATATGAAATCCACACCGAGGTACTACCTTCATTAGGGCAAAATGCTACAGAAGTGCGTAAGCTTTCAGAATCTGTGTTGCAGCCAGCTAGCATGTTTTCAGAAACAGACTCACTTTTTTTCTCAGGATGCAGTGCTCGGTGTAATCTGATAACCTGAAACTCCCACCGGTGACTAATTCATTCAGCCTGAAAATACAAATTCTGAGATTTGCACCAGGGTTGGGTAAATTCTAAGGGCTTTGTAGTCAAATTTAAGCCCCCATGCCCCCTACAGGCCACACTAGGGATAGAAGTGGCAGGAAATGGCAAAGTTTGAAAGAAAAAAACAAAACAGAAAGTAGTAAAATAAACACTTCTGGGTTTTGTGTTGAATTTCTTTTTTAATGGGAGAGTCTTGGGAGACTATCCCCAAAGCTCAGGAGCAGAAATTTGCAATGCCAAGAGACCCTTTTGTGTGTGAGAGAGAAAGAGGGAGGGAGGGAGGGAGGGAGGAAGGAAGGAAGGAAGGAAGGAAGGAAGGAAGGAAGGAAGGAAGGAAGGAAGAATAATTTTTAATCTGGTTAATTTTTATTGCATTTCTAGGCTTGTTTGCCTTTCCCAGATTTTGCACCCTCTACCTTATGATGAGTTCTGGGAAAGTTTGAAAGCCTGCCCTCTTTTGCAGCTCTTTTGTTTGCTCCCTGGTAAAGGTAGTACCCAACTGTGGACTTCAGATATTCCTGCTGTTCTCATCTTATTTAGAAAGAAGTATTATGCCATTAGAATGTGTGGAATTAACCAGCTTTGAACAAACCAGTTAACACTCAGAGCTTTTCTTGTTGTTAAACAAAAAGTGTAGTGCTGAAAGGCGCTGGACCAGATGGTGGCACTTTTCAGTATAAAGATGTACGGTTAATTTCATGGAGACTCAAAAGTCACAACGACTTTGGTGACACCGAACACTATAATTGAGGGATGTGTTGGCACTATGGGTTAAACTGCAGAAGCCTCTGTGCTGCAAGGTTGGAAGACCAGCAGTCGTAAAATCGATTCCATGCGACGGAGTGAGCGCTAATCGCTTGTCCCAGCTCCTGCCAACCTAGCAGTTGGAAAGCATGTAAAAATGCAAGTAAATAAATAGGTGCCACCACGGTGGGAAGGTAACAGCATTCTGTGTCTAGTCGCGCTGGCCATGTGACCATGGAAACTATGGACAAACACTGATTCTACGGCTTGGAAATGGGGATAAGCACTACCCCCTAGAGTCGAACACGACTGGACTAAATGTCAAGGGGAACCTTAACCTTTACCTTTTAATACCATCATTAAAATTCACAACTTTCTTGTTCACTAAATCAGAGCCTTCCAAGCTGATGTCCTCCAGAGATATTAATTATAACTTCCATATTTCAGTAGATAGGGAAAAAAGAGGTTTTGGACACTGTGATCACTTAGCCTGCAATTTTTAAAATTACTTGTAAGATTTATTTGAAGATAGAAAAACTTCCTGCAATATTATTGTCTCTCACCTGACATTCAGGGTCACCAAATCTACAGTTGAACTCTAAGACTTTAGGTCCATCTTTGGTGAGCATCAGCCCAGCGTACAAAACACCTGATTGAAAAGGCACAAGTTACTAAGAACATAAATGAGTGGTACAGCATATATTTTACATCTATGTTTAAAAAGAAGTTGCATTAGTGGAGGGACTTCTTGTTAGTGCACTGTCCTCTCACACCTCAGGGACATGAAGATCTTCCAGCCTCCACCCCCAAGTCAACAAGGTCCCAGACAGTGATAGGGGAACTGATGAGACAGCCCCAATAACAAAGTGAGAGAAACACACAATTGATGGTGGAGGAGGGACTCAAGGGGGGTGAGGGGGTGTAAAAGCTGGGAGGCAAGAGCAGAGTAGCAGGAAGGAAGAAGTGGAGGCAGGTTTCAAATAAGATAAAAAGACAGAGGAGAAAGTGTTCTGAGAAGGATGGGAATGGGTATGGAAGGAGGATTTTGACACCCAAGAGTGGGTAAGGTTGATGGTATCCCAAGAAGAGGTGGAAAGGCAGAGGCAGCAGCATCCCCTATTGGGGAGAGAGGGCAGGAGGAGGAAAGAAAAGAGGAAGGAGTGAGAGAGGAAAGAACAAGAAGGAAGAAAAAAAGAAAGGGGACAGAGATGGACTCCTCCTCACAGACGTGGACTTCCTTCCCAGTGGGGGCCAGAGAAACAACTGCCAACTCGGGGGCAAGAGACAGTGGAACCCCAACTGAGAGACTTGGGGGAGATGACCCCTTGGCAGACCCCCTTCCCTGTTGGGAGTGGGGGAAGAGTTCAGACCTTACAAAGTTATTGTAGAGATGGTTGTTGTGGGTTTTTCGGGCTTATTGTAGAGAATCCTGAAGTTTTATTAAAAATGGATGGTTTGAAGCAAGACTCAATTACCAATGTGTTTATAAAGGGGGAAACAAGGAGAGGGGGTTGAGAGTAAATTTAATTAATTAATTAGATTTATACCCCACCCATCTAGACCAAAGGTCTAATCTCACATAGGAAGACAGATGTTCCTTAGAGCTACCATCCTTGATCTCTTTTAGGGTATTTGAGCAGAGCCGTTTGTAGCTGGCAATTCCTGATCACTGTTCCTGCTTTCCCCTAAAACAGTCATCCTCTTTCTGGTGCCCTATAGATGCTTTGTACTGAAACGTCCATCCCCAGCCAGGGTGGCTGTGATGTGACATGTAGTAAAATACATCTGAAGCACATCAGATTGAGGATAGCTGTCCTGCAGGAAAAAAGGATCCTGCATTTTCTACTTTCACAGTACAGGAAAGAGAGATTTGCAAACACCTGAGCCTGCAAACCATTTTAGTAGATACGGTGTATAAACAAAGCAGATCCACAAGCCAGTCAGCCTGGAGGAGCAGCCTGGTCCCAGCCTTCTGCCATGATAAAGGTTGGTGGTACAGCAGCAGTTATAGCAGTGGTCTCGTGGTGCCACTGGCTGCTGTGGGACAATGGAAATGAGGAAGGCTCGGATAATATGGGCCTGTCCTAAACAGAGGAAGGGCTGGGATAGCACAGACCTGCCTGGAATCAGCTGCTTCGATTCATCTGAAACATGTCACCTAACATGTGTTATTGGATGACAAATTCATTGGTTGAATTGTCTTGTTTTCCTGCTCTCTTTTTAGTTTCATGTATGAATGAATGAATCTCCCACTTACCCACATAAGGAACACCCTCTTTCCTCATACCATCAACTGTTTTCTGGAGAATAGAATTCTTGATTTTCAGAAGCAGATCTTCGGACAGCTAATAAAGCAGCACAAAAAGTAGCACTCGTTAAGCATATAAAACTAGCATGTAAGAATCAACAGCTCTCCACGTTTCTATCATTTCATAAAATTTCTGGGCAATATTAGGAGCAAAGAATATCTGAGGTCAACAGCAGAGCACACAGTCTCCATGCATTCTCTGGATCAATCCCAGGCATCTCCAGCTCTTTAGGCTACCTCATCCAACACGGCTTGGAAAGATCTCCCTGCCCATTGCCTTGAAATACTGCTGCCAGACAATACTGGGCTAAGTGGATTAATGATCCAGTGCTTGCCCTTGCTTGAAGCATCCTGCGAATTGTAGTCCCAAAAAGTATTTTATCCCAAATTCTGGATCTGTCTCAATATGAGATAGCTTCATATTATATATCTGACTGATTTATAGCTTTCTTTCTTTTTCAAAACACAACTTGAGACAGCTATACATTCAACAAATTTAAAAGTATGATTAAGCAAATATACGCTGTAAGCATTTCTACCATGGTTGTTGTGGGTTTCTCGGGTTCTTTGGCTGTGTTCTGAAGGACCTTCAGAGCATGGCCAAAGAACCCAAAAAAAACCCCACAACAACCATCAGATCCCGGCCGTGACAGCCTTCGAGAATACATTTCTTCCATCTCCCAAATTAGCCACATCACTGATGCTCTGTAGGAATGAATAGTCTTTAATACAGGAAAACTGTACGACATGCATTTTACCTGAGGTGCTGGAGCATATGCACCCATGCCTCCAGTGTTTGGTCCCTGATCTCCGTCCATTAAACGTTTGTGATCCTGGGCTGGGGGCATAGGGGCAACTGTGACACCATCCGTGAAGCACAAACACTATGATAAAAACAAGAACTAGGATAACGCCAAGCTCACAGAACAACGCCTAGCAACAGACATTGATTTCCAGGCTATTTCTAAGTAGTACCCAGCTCAAAGTGAAAGACAGCCTCATGTTCAAAGTTATTCACCTTTTAATGCCATTAGCATTAATCTAAAACAAGGGTCTCCAAACTTTTCACCATGAGGGCCACACCAGATATTTTAAACATTTTTGAGGGCCAAAGGAACATGAGTGGACGCATGTAACTCTCCTTCCATGAGTGGAGGCTCCTTCCACTCATGGAGTGACTACAATGGACCCCTCCATTATGTTATATACTTACAGAAACCTCTTCTCCTTCAAGAAGTTCCTCAACAACAACTGTTTCTCCAGCTGCTCCGAAAGTTTTATCCTGTGCAAAAAAATTCATACAGATCTTGGCTGTAGAATTGACATTTATAACACTATTACAAAACACAGGCTGCCTGATCTATTAGCAGAGACAGAACATGTTTTCCAACATGATCTCCATCACCTCCTTCAGAAACCCATTTCCTTGTTCAAACTGCTTCCTTCTTTTTAATGCTAGTGAAATCAGTCATGAATACACCAGTTCTTCTTTCATAACTTTCTTTTATTTCCAATTCCATGCTGAAACTTTTTCAGAACAGAACAAATTATTCTGAGTTGTGAGATAAAAAACTCCTGTCTGCTATCTGGGGCCTTCCCAGCTCCCACCATTCCAGGGCAGGGGTGATGGGAACTGTAAGTTTAAAACCTCTGGAGGACTCTGGTTAAGAAAGCTGCTTTAAACCACAGTTCTACACATCATTAGTAGCTCAGTCATTATGTGTGCTTACTCAAAAGGAAGTTCCACAGTTTTCAATAGAGTTATCTCAAAGATACATGTATGCAGGATCAAAGCAGAAACTACTGCCTCATGGGCAACTTAAAGAATACAGTGGTGCCTCACTTAGTGACGTTAATCCGTTCCGGAAAAAACGTCGCTAGAAACACATTAAAATGCGTTTAATGCATTCCTATGGGCTTAAAAACTTACCTTTCAGCGAAAATCCTCCATAGCGCTGCCATTTTCACTGCCTCTTAAACGAGGCAAAACAGCAGGAGGCCATTTTGTTTTTCTGGTGGCCATTTTGAAACCGCCGATCAGCTGTTAAAAAAGGGTCGCTTTGCTGAAATTTGGGGAAATTTATTGCATTTGTTAGGTGATTATGTGGTAGGATGTGTACCTTGTAGATCTAGTTCTGTGTGTGTCCTTCAACCAGACATAATCCTGAGGGACTGAAATGTCTCATCCTGGGGTTCTATCTTAAATATAGGTCATTAAAGGATGTGCACATATTTTAATAATGGCACGTTCCTTACTTACTTGCATTATTTCATGCACAGCATTGCATGCCTCTCCTTTGTTGGCAGCCACAATCACACCTTTTCCAGCAGCTAGGCCACTTGCCTTGACCACTAGGGCTGGGAAAGTTGCACTGGAAGAAAAAACATGAAAAAAATGATTAAAAGGGGATTCTATATCAATTCTAAGGTCTGAATATACTTTGAAATTAAGGAAAATGGAACAGAATTAACAAAACAGTTCTGTTAACTCTGGAACGACGTACCTGTTAATAAAAGCACATGCTTCTTCCGCATTAGTGAAAGCTTTCCATTTTGCTGTTGGGATGCCATGACGGTCAAAAAAGGCTTTGGAAAAGCTCTTACTGGACTCTAGCTGAGCTGCCTTTTTGGTAGGACCAAAACATCTCACACCAGCTGCAGTGAGGTCATCAACAATTCCTGGCAACCAAAATATCTCAAAATTATATAAGTTGTCAAAATAAGTAAATGGCATATAATCATACACATTAACTGTGATAGCAGTTTCCCAAAACACTAAATCTTATGTAACCAAAACCAGCACAATTCATGCTGTAGGCTAAGAGGGAATCAAAGTTGAGGGGTAATACAAAAACGTCCAGTAAAGATGGAGCCAGATTAGACAACAAGAAGCTTCTGGCACCTTAAAAGATGAAAGCCGGAACCTGAGTGTTATCCACCACTGACAATGTTCTGCCTGATTTCTGGCTTTACCCTGTGCAAGTAGAAAATAACCCGCTGGAAAGAACAGAGCTTGTGCAAGCACAGAAGATGTCACAAACGGCTGTTCTGTGAGTGGATCAGGTGTCCGGCCTAGATGTTTTATTCAATAAAAGCTTTTGTGGACTCCAGTCCTTTGCATCAGATGGTCTGCAATCACAAAAGTTTATACCAAGTAAAACTTTTCAGTCTTTATGGTATCAGAATGATCTTTGCTGTTTTTGCCACCACAGACTAATACAGCTACACCTCTTCCAGAGAAGTATGAGCATGTTTAATGGCCACAAAATGTCGGCCGAGTTCTGGAGCAAGATGGAGAAATGGCCAGAAAAAGTAAGGAGAGAAAGGAAAATGAACGGACCATCCTGGGAAAGGGCAGTGCTGTCTGCGTAGAACCCTGAACAGGTACACATCCCAATGCAACATTCTGTTGTGATTCCTACCTGGAGCTCTGACTCCTGCTGTTTTCTGTAACTTCATGCCCAGCCTGCCTAGCCCAAACCTGGGATGAGATTTACAGAGATGTCTATGACTCTTGGTGATGGCAGCAACCAGAAATACTCCATAGCTGAAAATCACAACTGCTTAATAATTGTCTCAGCTTCCTGAGTATTGTATGGATTAACCATTTCTTCTGATAGAAGAACTGTTCTGCACGGCACACATGCCAGTTAACGTACGTGCACATTCTGTAGACATTCAGCTCTCAGTATGTAGAAGCTATAAATGTTTATTTTAAGATTTACCATGATTATTGAAAGGGAAGTCATTCATGGGGAACTTGCCAAAAGAAAATATCCTCCTTCCCTTTTTAGACATACCTGCAGCAAGAGGAACCTCTGGGCCAACCACTACAAGTCCAATCTCCTGGTCTTTACAGTACTTGGAGAGAGCGGCATGATCACTGATTGAAATAACTGTTGGTAGGGAGAGAGAGAGAAAAAATCAGATCTGTTGCAATTAGAAGAGAACATCCAGGGCTTAAGTCCCTTCCCTGTGCCTTCTTGCAAATGCCTCTGAAAGGCACTCTCAAAATATTCCACTGTAGTAAGTTAAATTGGGGGACAAACTAGCTGTAACGCCATTCACACATTTTAGCAATTGTGTGAATGACTTTTTAAATGGAAATTGCACAGATGTGCCCCCATCCCCATTAAAATTTAACCTTAGTGAGGGAAAGAGGTAGGACAACTTAAATTTGACCAGCGCAGAGCAAGTCAAATCCTTAATGCTCCCTCTGAAAATGCAGACTTTTCAGATGCTTGATTGTCAATGAACAGAAGATTAATGGAGATGGAGTCAATCTGGGTAAGGAAATTGTGAAAATACTGTAGATATATAATATATTGAAAAGAAAACTATTAAGTTTATAGCAGACAAGAGTGGATGGGAGGAATTAAAATCATATTCATACTTTTTAATCATATTAAAAATCATATAATTAAAAATCACAACCTGAACTGGGGCAATAGTGGAGGAAAGGCTGTATTTCCGCTGTATTTCCACAATGGATCTAAAAAGCTAACGACTGTATTAATTGGGCCAATAGGACCACTGTTAATTTAGTCCTAAAGAAATGTTGTGTAGTCCAAGATTGTACAAGGAGTTTCCTGCCTGGTTTAAATCCTACCATTAGCTGGATCTCTCTGGTAATGAGCAAGCAGCAAATGAATTCTTCAATGTCATACTGCATGACATGAGCTCTGGAGTCAGTGTTGTATGGGGTTAGAGTGACAGATTGACGGAGTTGAGAAATATAGGTTCCCATTTCTATTGAGTGATGTTGGACCCCTGATTTCTCTTTCTCCATCTGCTCTGCTTCCCCTGGTCGTTGAGAGACTAGTGGTGACGAGAATGAGGTGAGTGACATTGAGATTGCTGGAGAGAAGACAGGTTAATGATCAATATAGGTGCTCAGTTTTTGTTTCTGAACTAGACTTCCTTGAATTCTCCAGGCAGCTTTGTCACTCACCATGCCTCCTTGGGAATTCTGCGATTTGTAATCTGAAAACACACCTTTCCATACTAATTATAACAATAAGCACTCATAAAGAGTGCACTATTAAAGAGCAGGCCGGGTAGGTGGGGCTCGTCAGCCATGGAAGGCAGCCCATCTAGGAGAAGGAAAACTCCGATTTCAAACCTCCACTGCCTTGTGGCTATATCCATTCATGGAAAAGGCTTCAGGAGTTAACCTCGAGGCAAAATCCGGAGCTGGAGTCCCGAAGGCAGCATGTGTCATTCTGCCAACTCCTGCGACATTGCTGGAACCAGTTGTATTGGCTCTTGCCTTTCCACTGGATCATTTTAGCAATGTGGAGAGGGGGGATCTGCTGCTTGGGTAACAGCCTATCCTCCATATTACCTTACCCGGGCTTCATGCTCTGGAGAGGATACTCCTCGATTCAGAGCATGTTACCATAGTCTCTTGAGACTGAAGGATGCCTATGCCTATGCTTGACTCATAATAACAATAAATGTTTATATCTTGACAAAACCAGTTTACAAGGTTTATTTTTATAAAGTGTGTGCTGCTTATGGTATATAATGCACCCTCTGGGCAGTTTATAAGTTAATTATGAAGGCTACACATTGTAGTACTCGCAGCAAGCTGGGTACTCAATTTACTGAGCTCGGAAGGATGAAAGTTGAGTGAACCTTGAGCCAGATACCTGGGATTGAACTTGGATCATGATCAGAGTTGTGGCTCCAGTAGTACAGTTAACCACTGTGCCACGAGGCTTCTTTCAATAATTGGAAATGTTCTTAGTCGAGGGGCACAGAAAGTCCCATATCAACTTGAGTCAATAAATACTAGGTCACTGATTAGACCCCACCAGGCTACCATTAAGCCTTAGTGCTACATGAAATCTGGCAAAATACCCTTGATGAAAAGGTACAATGTTGAAAATAAAGACAGCAAGGGCTGCCCCAGTTTTTAAAAGGGAACTGCTAGGGATACATTCATTTTAAGAAGCAATGTTACTTTGCTGCCGCCACCCCTCCCCAGAGCATTCACCTACAAGGAAAAAAAACCTTCATAATTTTAAAGAAGAGTCCAGAAAAACAACATTGGTTCCTGTCTTTTATCAACAGCAAACAAATCCAAAGTCTAACTGGGTCATGTGAGCCAACTGGCAAAGGAAATCGCCTTCCTCCCCTCTCTTTCTCCATGACAGGTATTGGGCAGTTACGAGGGGTGTTTCAAATACAGAAAACTTTCACCCCTTGGCAAACATATGCTCTGCTGTTTCACCAGCTTTGCATATTTAACCTGAAGCTCTTTTTTTTGCCTTCTGTGATGTCATTGCTGATGTGGGTTTCACAACTCCGGGATGGGAGAGGAGGTGTCTGTTATTTCAGGATGGTATGGGAACTCACATTTCACAAAAAGTAAAATGTAGAGTATAAATCCTGCTTCCTGATTTTATGAAAAATTCTGCAGGGTGACAGGAAATACTGATCTCTATTGGTTGAAACTCATGAGTAGATACAGCAGAGTTTATCTTATTGTAACCAAACTAGTGGTTTGCAAGGTGACTTTAGGAATATACATTTTAGCTAATTATAAAATAAAGCTAGGATTTATGATAAGTACAACCACAGTCAATCAGTTGAAATTATATGTGCAGGCTCTAATATTCTGCTTTGCACATTCTATACGTTTTGAGTCATGCCGGAGGCTGAATGGCAACACAAATCCCACTGAAAGCACTTCTGTATGGAAGAATAACATGTTTCTGGAAGACCAATGGAATTAGCATCTGGTCTCTGTTGCAAGGTCCACAAGCAAACCAAACAGCTGTGCTTGCCAAGACATGATTCTTCCACTCAAGACTGGAGTTTTATCCCCAACCACCAATGGTATACTAGAGCCAGGATTTGAAAGGTTGACATTCTAGGATCTTCTGATTAACAGGGGCTCTGACATCATCTCCTCAGACTTTCCTACCCCATCTGAGCTTAGCCACAATGTTCGTTGTAGCTGAGAGCGACACTGATTTTCTCAGGAACAATACATTATTGTAAGCAATCTTTCTTGCATTCCAAGACATTAGAGGATGATCTGGTGTTCAATGAATAACTGAGAGGCCTTAAAATTATAAAATATCTGCTCCTCATTTGTTGGCATGGGCAGATCCAGCCACTTGTATTTTTTATTCTCTTATTTCAGAGTCGCTTGTTGTGGAGACTTCATGATGAGCATCCACACTTTGAAATTTACCACTACAACACTGTTCTTGATTTTATGCTATGCTTCCAAAGGGGATCAAGTTAGGGATAATTTTCTTTTCTTCTCATCAGTCTAAAGCCTGTGTAGTTAATCTCACTGTGAAGAGCACAGGAAAGCATCATCCTCTTCCCCAGCATGGAGCTGTGGTGGGGAAGGCTTCATCCCAACAGCTGCACTGCTCGCAGAAGATGTTTGAAAGGCCTCAAGAGCATAATTGTAAGAATGATCGCTACCCACTTTCTCCAACTCTACAGTAAGGAAAAAGGGCTAGCTCGGTGGTTTAGGTCTCTGGCTACAGAGTCAGAGGCTGGGAGTTTCATTATCCACTGTCTGACAAGGGTGAGCTCAATGATCCATAGGGTCCTGTAAAACAGCTCTGCAGTTCTGGGATGACGACAATTCTAAGTGTCCCAAGTTTCAAGGAAGTGCAGCAACATAGCAAAACAAGAGGGCATCATCCCTGCTGGGGAATTCATTTGGAAGGTAATTGGGGAGCCCTGGAAGCCTAAGACAATGGTGAGTGCAACTGTCATCCTGATCTCCAGGTCCATGGCCAGGAGGAATATGGGAGCTTGCCAGTGGGCAGCCAAATGCCCACAATGTATAGAAAATGCAGTTGTTCCTCTCCCCTTCTTGTAGAAAACATTCAGATATCCAGATCTTGTTCTGTGGCCAGGGTGCTTATCTCTCATGCAGGAGTGGCTTATGGGCCCAAACATTTGGGGGCAGGGGAACACTTGTCCCAGTCATGTGCTATCCAAGCTCTCACTCTGAAAATTTTAGCTGAAACAGAAAGGTCCTATTTAACATTGGTCTGCTGCCAAATTGCTCTTCCTCCATTGAAAAAGTAAGGCTGCAATTTGAGAAGAGGCAATATGGTTTTCTTCGCAATCCTTTCTATGTAAAGAATGAGTTATTCTAAGCTATTCAAGAGGCAATCAGATGATCTTTTCAGACTTAGGGCACGGAATAAAAATCTTTGTCACTATATTTACTGAATTATAATTGATTCCCTTTCCTAGTAATCTTGTGTCCTTCACATGACAAGTATTACAACTAAGTTGATTATGTTTTCACTCATATTTTAAGAAACTCCTATTTGTATTCCAAACAAAAAAGACGTGACAGAGAGTTCGTTTATATTTTAGGAAACTCTAAATAATATAAATATCAAGGAAAAATATTGATTGTTTAAAAGCTTTAAAGCATGGAATGTAGCAGGTATAATGACCTAATATCAATATATTGTTCAAAATTAAGCAGGGTGGATTTGATTTAAATCAAATTTATTTAAATTAGATTTTAAATTTAAAAATTGGGTTTTGATTATTTAAATCAACTGATTTAAATTTTATTTTTAAAAAAATCTCTGATTTTTATCCACGGTGGAAGTATGTTCCACTGGCTTGAGCCATGATAGGATTTTTTGAATTGCAAATCTTATTATCCTACCTTGTAAGAGGCTATAACAACTGTAATATCAAGCATTGGGAGGTACATAAGTTCCCAAATCCTGTTTCAAAACTAAACTTGATTCCATGCGAAAGTTTTAAAACATACTTTAAATGATTTTCATGTATCTATGGACTGGTAACACATAATTCATGCTCAAATGTTGAAGATGTTTTTGCTGCTCTTCCAATTTCCCAAGACCTTATAAAAATATATAT